GGGACGCAGTGTCTTTAGCACGCAGAGGCTAGATACTTGCGCGGCAGTTTTGCCACAATTCCCTACCGAATGAAGACGGAGGCAATTCCGTGTATGTACGCATTTTTTTTTGTTTGGGTGCTGCCCGCTTTTGTTGCCCTGCGGTGCGGGGGGGGGGTTCCTTCGATGTCGCTCTCTTTTTCTTTTGCGTGCGGGCCTGCTGCGTCTCTTGAAGGCGGAGGGGTCGGCGTTCCCGGGACACCGTCTCCACAACGCTGGCAGAGCGATGGAGAGAGCGAGTGCCTATTGGGCGCTTGCGTGGTGTGGGCTCCCTCTCTCCGCTTGGCTGCCTGCTGGAAGCGAGCCAAGCCTTTTCTTTCTGCGCCCCCACTACTTTGCCTTATGCCTGCACGCCATTTTCTTTTTCCTTTTTCCCCCCTCCCTCCGCTTCGATTTGCGTGAAAGAAAACGTACCAGCAGCTTCGCTGTGAATACGAAAGGGACAAAGGGAAAACAGGAGAGCAACGGATGTCGTACGGTGACCCCTACCCCGGCGACCGCATGGCGGCACTCGGCGCCAACCTCCGCGATGTCAACTGGAACGAGGTGCAGGTGGTGGCATCGCAGTGGAACTACTACAAGCCGCAGCAGCAGCGCAGCGACGCGGAGGTGGCGCAGTGGCTTCGCGCGAACCGCATCACCATCTACGGCGATCGGGTGCCGCAGCCGATGTTGGTCTTCTCCGACCTCGTGGCGCCCGACTCCATCCACCAGGTCTTCATCGAACTCGGCTACAAGGCACCCACGGCGATCCAGTCCATCGCGTGGCCCATTCTGCTGAACTCCCGCGACCTTGTTGGCATCGCCAAGACGGGCTCCGGCAAGACGATGGCGTTCATGGTGCCAGCCGCACTGCACATCATGGCACAACCGCCTGTTCGCCCCGGCGATGGTCCCATCGCGTTGGTTCTCGCCCCGACCCGCGAACTCGCCGTGCAGATTGAGGAGGAGACGCGGAAGGTGCTGCGACGCATTCCCAGCATCACGACAACGTGCCTGTACGGCGGAGCACCAAAAGGCCCGCAGATTCGCGTGCTGCGCGCCGGCGTGCATGTCGCCATTGCCACTCCAGGGCGTCTCATTGACCTGCTGGAGATGCGCGCCACGAATCTGCTGCGCGTGACATATCTGGTGTTAGACGAGGCGGACCGCATGCTGGACATGGGGTTTGAGATTCAGATTCGCAAGATTTGCTCGCAGATCCGCTCGGACCGACAAACCCTCATGTTCTCTGCAACATGGCCGCAGGAAATTCGCAACTTGGCAGCGAGTTTCCAACGGGACTTCATCCGCGTCCACGTTGGCTCCGAGGACCTTGTCGCCAACAACGACGTCTGCCAGCACGTGATGGTGGTGGAGGAGTACGACAAGCAGAGACGACTAGAGGAAATCCTGCAAAAACTCGGCCGCCAACGTGTGCTTATCTTTGTCAAGACGAAGCGTACAGCCGACTCTCTGCATGGGTCGCTGCGACGGATCCTCGGCGGCGCCGTGATGGCGATTCACGGCGACAAGGAACAGTCGCAGCGTGACTACGTACTGGATCGTTTCCGCCGCGACGACCGCTCCGTCCTTGTCGCGACGGACGTCGCCGCACGTGGGCTGGACATTAAGGACCTGGACGTGGTCATCAACTTCGACATGCCGTCCAACATTGAGGATTACGTGCATCGTATTGGTATGTGAATGACATCCCGGTTGAGTCTATCGACCTCCCCCTCTTGCTTTGCTCGGCCCTCCCCTCTTTGTATACTTGACGCCCCCCTGCTCCTCTCTCTCTCTCTCACCACCTTTCTCTATTCGTGTCGGTCTGTTGGCGATGGTTGTCTATTTGGGCTGGTACGCTCTGGCATGAAATGGGGGAATACGAGTAGTAAATAAAAAAAAAAGGGATGACATGCAAGCACACGCATCGGTAAGACGTACAGCTGCCTCTGTGCATGGATGCATCTTCTTTCTCTCTCCGTGCGTGTACGCGTGCGTGGGTGTGGGTTTCTTGTGTTTGTGCTTGTGAGGCAGCTGTATGCGGTGCATGTGCTTGTGTGTCTCAGCAATGAGAAGACATGCAGTGTGGGCCGGAGCAGTTTCTGCACTCTTTTTTTGTGTGTGTGAGGGAGAGAGAAAAAGAGGGCTGACGGGTGGGTGGTTTAGTCTCCCACTCTCTCTCCTTTACGCTATGCCCTTAGGCCAGGCATACGAGTGTGTGCTGGACGGCATGCAGGCACGGCACCGGGGCTTTGTTCTCCAACCTCCGTACGTGTATGCGTGTGTGTGACAAGCCCTCGGTGGGCGCGTATGCCAGCCGCTCCTTCTTTGCCAGCATACACGCACACAACAAGCGCACCTGGCGAGGGGGCCACTTCTTGGCGGGACGCATGAGTGTGTTGGGCTAACGCGTCCACCACGTGTTCTCGGCAGGTCCCTTTTTATCCTGAGCGAGGGCCGTTGCGTTCCCACCTCCCCCCTTCTCTTTCTCCTCACTCCCCCTGAAGCCTCATGTAAAGCTCCCCTTCGCTGTGGGTGTGGTCCTCCAGCTGTCTGCGACCGCACGCCACACCGTGGGGGGCTGAAGGGGGGCGCAAACGGAGAAAAGAGAGCTGTGCGGAGATAATTTAACGCGGCAAGGTGAGGGGATGGCCAACCACGTATGGAACGAGTACGTGGGATAAGTGAGCGGAGCGGACGGCCTCCCGCTGTTCCTCTGCCACTGGCTCCTGCTATTCCCCGTTCCCCTTCGCGCGTGCGCGTGCGCGCGCGCACACACACACACACACACACACACACACACGTCTACAACCACACAGATGCGTGCGCCACGATCCTCCCCCCACCCACCCCCGCCCCGCCCCACCCAACTGGAGCATGCTTCACAGCACCAGGAGGCTGTCGCCAACGCCGACCGGATTAATAATAAAAATATTTTATGCTTCATCTGATTTTGCTTCAATCTGACAACTCTGCTCCTTTCTTTTTCCTCTGCTGTGCTGCTCTGTAATTGTCTAACATTGCATCTTCCTGGACAGGACGTACTGGACGTGCCGGAAAACGAGGCGATGCGTACTCTTTTATAAGCGCCGCTGATCCACCGAAGACGATCCGCGACTTGGCCGAACTCTTGCGCCGTGCGAATCAGGAGGTTCCTCAAGAGCTGTACGAGGTCATGGGCCGAGGCGGTGGCGGTTACCGAAGTGGCGGCAGTGGCTACCGGGGTGGCGGCGGCTACCGAAGTGGCGGCGGTGGCGGTAAATACCGTGGCGGCGGATACCAGGGCGGTTACGGCGCTCGACCGTATCCACCATACGGTGCTGCCGTGCCCGTACCGATGCCGTCTGCCCCCATGATGCATGCCGGTGGGTACCCTATGGCACCGCAGGCACCCGTCGCAGTGGGTGGTGGCGGCATGTACAGTGTCCCACATTCACAGCCCCCCCCGCCGCATGTCCCGATGCAAATGCCGGTTGCTGTGCCGCAGTGGGGTCAGGCCCCCCCGCCGCTTGCCGGTGAAAAACGGGGTCGTGACTCTCCTGAAAGGCGGAGATCCGACAGCCGCGAGAGATATCGTCGCCGCTCCCGCTCTGATAGCCGCCAGCACCGTCGTGGGTCCGACGACAACCAGCATCGTCGTTACGGCAGCCACGAACACCGCTGAGCAGACAACGTTATTGTATTCTTCCCCCTCGCAAGGAACTACAACAATAATAAAAAATAAGAAGACAAAAAATAGAGAAAATAGCTAAATCCTGCGGTTAAGGGTGAGTGAAGACGGCAGGGGGTGGAGGTGGAGGAGTGTGTGTGTGTGCGGATATGGCGGCTGGGAGAGAGAGAGGGGTGTCCGCGACGAAACCGCAAGGACGGACCCCCACCCTGCCGTGACCGTTTAGTCCTCACTGTCTCTTCTCCCTCCCTCCCTCTTTTCCTCCTTCCCTCTCCCCCGGGGTTTCCCATCTCCTGCTCTACAGTATCCTTTCCACGTGCTTTGTTCTCTTTTTCGTTTCTTTTCCTAAATGTGAGCGACAGAGCAGAGTCCGCGTGGGAACCCTACCCCACCCCCTTCCTCCTCCCCCCAGTCACCGCACACGGCAACCGCGGGCCCGAAAAGAAAGGAGAAGACAAAAAAAAAAGGCGTCAGTGGAAGTCGGCGAAAGGATATCACATCTCTTTTTTGTTTCTGCTCACGGCATATGAATCGTGTGCACCGCGGGCAACGTGCCCATTCTCCATTCTGCAAGTTGGTGGTGGGTGGGTGGGGGCTAGTGCCCGGGATGACGGTGACTGTGGGGTAAAGGTGAAGGTGATAGTTTTTAGCGGGGCGAAGAGAAATTCTTTTTTTTTCTTTTTTTTTTTTTTTTCTTGTGTGTGTGTTTGCTTTGTTCACATCGTTTCCCGCTGGGACGCCCCAGATGGCGCCACTCGCCCGGGCCATCTTCACGTGGGAAGCAAGCGCACATGCGATGGGGGACACGAAGTTTCCCATCGTCCTCCCCTTTTCTCTGACTGTCTCTGCGGCCGCGTGGGTGAGGGGGAAAAGGGAGGCGCCGGGGCGGAAGCGAGGAGAAAAGGAAAATAAAC